CCCTCCGGCACAGCCCACAACTGGGCCATACTGGGCCATACTGGGCCAAGCTGAGGGTCTTGTCTTCTTTCTCCACAGGTTCCAGTGCTCCTCATGCTCTCGAAATTGGGCCTCTGCCCAAGTTCAGGTCCTTTTCCACATGCACTGGAGTGAGGGGGAATCCAGGGGCCAGGTGAAGATGAGGGTCTTTGCCCAGAGATGTCAGAAGTGCTCCCAGCCTTCGTTTGAGGTTCCCAAGTTCACAGAAGAGAACATCTCAAGGATCCTGAACAACCTGGTGTTGCAAATTCTGAAGAAATGCTATAGAGAAGGATTTACGTTCGTGGAGATTCCTATGATCAAGGAAATCTCTCTTGAAGGGCCACATGACAGTGACAATTGCGAGGCATGTCTGCAGGGCTTCTGTGTGCAGAGTGAGTTTGGTCTGGCCATGTGGTCACCAATATCCCCATTACCTCCCACAATAAGCTCACCCATCCTCGGGATCACCACCGAAATACCTTCTCCCACGAGGAGTAGCACCGGAGGGGATGCAGTGAAGAAAAAGAAGGTATTACCCAGACAGTCGTTTCCTGAGACCACACAAGCTGAGAGCCTCCCCATTTCCTGGAGCCCGAGAGCAAACACCAACTTCCAGGCAGAGAGAAGAGGCCAGAACTCCTTCAGCAATTGCACTTTCTATTCCCACACAGCCCAGCATACCAGGAGCTTAGGCATGAGCTGCTGCTGCTGTCTCATGCTAATAATCATCATTGTAATTGTGGTAAAAACCACTATCTGAGCCTGGAAAGCATGATGTTGAGTTTAAAAATATCAGACACACAGTCATCTATTGTATAATCCCATTGATGCAAAATATTCAGAATAGGTAAATCTAGAGATGGCAAGTAGATTTGTGGCTGCCAAACAAGGGGCTGGGGGGAGAGGGGAAGTGGGGAGCAACTATTTAATCTGTATGGGTTTTTTGCGGGGGTGATGAAAGTATTTTAGAGGTGATGGTTGCACAACACTGTGAATGCGCCAAATGCCATTTATTTGTTCATTTTAAGATGGTTAATTTAATATAAATTTCACCTCAATTTAAAAAAAAAAGAATGCTGCAATTTCATTCATTCTCTAGAGAACTGAGACTGAGGCGTTTATGGCTCACAGAACAGTTTGGAAATCTTAGGAAACCCGGGGGCCCTCTCCCCAGACGATTTTGCACAGACCTTCTGATGTCAATCTGTGGAGGCGTTTGCCGTCCAAAGCATTAGTCTGAAAAGCCGGGTTCTAGAGCAGCGGTCTCCACCGAGGAGCTACACGCAGCTGAGGGCTGAGGCAGGACCATCTGCCAAGGTGGGGAGATATCCTTAAAACTCCATTTAATTTTTGTTTGTACTTAACTATTTCTTGTCACATGTTTTATCATGTATGTTAATATATTAGTAGAATGGTATAGTGATATGATAAATAAATACACACCCATTTGGAGTGGGTGTTCAGTTTCTCATTGACAGGGTTGCAAAATCAGAAACATCGTTACGGGGGACCCTGTTCTGAAGGACCAAGGGTGGAAGTCTGTCCATGGATTCTCACCAGGATTCTGAAACCAAGTTGCTTTCTATACAAGTTTTCTATTCTGATTAATGAGAATAATTTAAGACTCATTCTCACATCTTTTTTATCTAGAAATAGGAATCCTTCTGTATATGTAGCTAGAATGAAAGCAGTAGTCATTTACAGCAAATGCTCCTTTTCACTCGCCCTTGTCTCCTGCCTCTCTCATCAACGACAGTGGTTCCTGAAAGCACAGGCTGCTCCTGCTGGGACAGTCTCTAGAACTTTTTCATTTTGCAAAACTGAAACTCTGTAGCCATTAAACAACTCCCCTTTTCTCCCTCCCCCTAGGCCCTGCTAACTATCATTCTTCTTCCTGTTTGTATGAACCTGCCTACTTTAGATACCTCATACATGTGGAATTATATAGTATTCGTCTTCTGGTAACTGGCTTATTTCACTTAGCATAATGTCCTCAAGGTTCATCCATGTTGTAGCATGTGACAGGATTTCCTTCCTTTTGGGGGCTGAATAATATTCCACTGTATGTATGTACCACACTTTGTTTATCCAGCCATCCATTGATAGACGCTTGGGTTGCTTCCACCTTTTGGCTGTTGTGAGTAGTGCTGCTGTGAACATGGGTGTACAAATATCTCTCTGAGACTCTGCTTGCAACTCTTTTGGCTATATACTCAGAAGTGGAACTGCAAGATCATATGGTAATTCTACTTTAATCTTTTGAGGAACTGCCATGATGTTTTCTACAGCAGCTGCACCATTTTACAGTCCCACCATAAGGATTCCAATTTCCTCACATTCTAACCAGCACTTATTTTCTGTTTTTTTTTTAATATAATAGTCATATCAATGGGTGTAAGGTGATATCTCATAGTGCCTTCGATTTGCATTTCTAGAAAATGCAATTTTTTATGATGTAAGTTTACACTTTCAAGGCAATATCAGAAATAATATTTGTACAACTCAGCACAGAGATAACTATTGGGAACACAACAGAAATGTGTAGCTAAATTCTTCACAGACTTGCTATTCACGTTCAAACGTTGAAGCATAGTCTACATATCTGTATTAGGCAAACTCCAGGAACTTAAAATGTAATAGTGGGACACGACAGAACAAACACATGCCTAAGAAACAAACATCTAAGAGAAAAGAGGGTGCCCCAGCAGCCCATAAATAGCTGGAAGCTCAGTGACCAGTGAGGTGGGGAAGGCATGCTGGGTCATTAATATAAAAAGGGGTTCTTAGTGGAAAGCAAATCATAAAATATTAAAGTGGGGATCAGCCTTAGAAATTGTCTTCTCCAACTCTATTTTTTGCAGGTGGGGAAAATGAGCCTCACCCAAAGTGAAGTGATTTTTCCCAGGATTATACAGTGCATTTGTGAAAGCGCTGGCCTTGCAATCCTGGCTCCCTGAGTTCCAATGTTGACTATCGGCCCCTTCAGGAGGTTACAAAATATGTTCAGAAAGTCACAAAAATAAACATGCTCTAAGTGAGAACCAGGGACTTCCCCGGTGGTCCAGTGGCTAAGGCTCTGCACTCCCAATGCAGGCGGCCCAGGTTTGACCCCTGGTTAGGGAACTAGATCCCACACGCCGCAACCGAGAGTTCGCATGCTGCAACTAAAGACCTCACATGCCGCAATGAAGATTGAAGATCCTGCGTGCTGCAACTAAGACCTGGTGCAGTTAAATAAATAAACAAATAAATAATTTTTTTTAAAAATCAGTGATGGAGTTAAAAAAAAAAAAAGTGAGAACCGGATCTTGTTTTGGACCACTTCACGGCCCATACCTGGGGTTACAGGGGCTACCTGGGGTTGACCAGTCACAACTGAAATTAGACTCTAGTGTAGCAGCTGACTACTAAAGCCTGAAGTCCTAGCCCCAGGCAGTGCCCGTCCTTCCCTCAAAGCCACAGCTCTACGGGTGCAAGCTCAGCCTTGGGTCCTCTTCGTCTCCCTGGTGAATTTTACAATCAAGGCAAGTTCATCTATTTAACATCGTATCTTCTTTGGTCCCATTACCAGTGTGGAGCTGCTTTCTTTCCTAAGAATTATGAGTGGTGCTAAGGCCCAATACTCAACTATAATTTGCTTCCTCTGTAATTTATATCATGCTGTAATAAAACGACATAAGCATCTCAATTTTTCATTCTGATGAAACAGCTGGAGACTCTAAGCAGAGATATTTGAGCTGCCTATTAACACTGCAGTTTGGCATCATTTCAAGTTTTAAAGCTTAGATTTAATTTCCTAATTTTTAGAAATAAATCCAATATACATACCATAAAATAAGCATTTACACCTACATACACCACAGAACGATAACTAAGAAAACATACAGATGACCAAAAGCACATGAAAAGATACTCAACATCACTAATTATTAGAGAAATACAAATCAAAACTACCATGAGGTATCACCTCATACCGGTCAGAATGACCATCATCAAAAAGTCTACAAACAATAAATGCTGGAGAGGGCATGGAGAAAAGGGAACCATCCTACACTGTTGGGGAGAATGTAAATTGGTACAACCACTATGGAGAATAGTATGGAGCTTCCTTGAAAAACTAAAAATAGAACTACCATATGACCCAGCAATCCCACTCCTGGGCGTATATCTGGAGTAAAACATACTTCAAAAAGATACATGCACCCCAATGTTCATTGCAGCACTATTTACAATAGCCAAGACATGGAAGCAACCTAAATGTCCATTGACAGAGGGATGGATAAAGATGTGGTACATATATACAATGGAATATTACTCAGTCATAAAAAAGAATGAAATAATGCCATTTGCAGCAACATGGGTG